ATCTCTGGGGGCTCTGAGGACATGACTCAATGGTAAAGTGCTTGCTGCTCAAGGGTGAAGACCTGAGTTTGGATCCCCAGTACCCCCACATGGAAGCTAGGTGTAGTGGTGTTTTGCATCTGTGTTTTGTACCCCAGCAATTGGCGAGATGGTAATGAAAGCAGAAGGATCCTTGAAGCTTACTGGCCAAATAGTGTAGCCAGTCACTGAGTTCCGGGTGTAGTGAATGAATGTGAGGACACTCACTGGAGAGCTCCGCCTCCCCATGGACAAACTGTGAGGACACTCACTGGAGAGCTCCGCCTCCCCATGGACAAACTGTGAGGACACTCACTGGAGAGCTCCGCCTCCCCATGGACAAACTGTGAGGACACTCACTGGAGAGCTCCGCCTCCCCATGGACAAACTAGCACATAAACCCACACGTACACACATCGTGCACACAAAATGATAAAAGTCACATCTCAGAACTCAGTCAAAAGCATTGTGAAACCTCTTCATTGCCGTGTTTTCAGTGTGTCTGATACGAAAGCAGAGACATGTTCCTTAGAGGTTTTGGGTTCTGGCTGATGAATTCAAGTTGAAGAATGGCCTCCACAAGCTTTCACTATCTCCTTTGATCCTGTCTTGTCTTACATACTAAAGCTCACACATGATTTCAATCTTTTCCTATGAGACAACTAATAAAACACCTTTTATTTGAATTTGAATAAATTTTTGAGAAAGTGGGCAGCTGAAACGGGGTTTTGCTATTGTAGCAGGGTAGCCTCAAACTCGGACTGCTTCCTGTCTCAGCCTCCTGTATACTAAGATTACAGGTATGTAAAACGCCGCCACGCCTGGCTTTTCCCAGGATTGTTTGAGTCATACGTCAATTAGAGGTCTTGTAGCTCCAACTCATGTAATTCCTCTAACACATACTTATTACCCACTGGAATCTGTTTATGAAGCTACCGTTGATGAATTTTAAGGAATTTTAAACCTGTTGAGAATTTATTAGCTCAGAGCAAGAGGACTGGTGGTTGATTTAAAGAGCTGTTTCTGGTTAGTGCATGCATGACCAGTGCATGCAGGAGGCTCTGGGAACTCCTTGGCGTGTAAGCTGGGCTCAGTACACACCAGACTGTAGAGGGCAAGCAGCACAAAGACTGGGCATAGTAGTGCACACCTTTTTTAAAATTTATTTTTATGTGCATTTGTGTTTTTGCCATGGGTGTTGGGGTCCCTTGAAACTGGAATTACAGACGGTTGCAAGCTTCCATGTAGGTGCTGAGAACTGAACCCAGGACCTCTGGAAGAGCAGCCAGTGCTCTTAACCCCTGAGCCATTTCTCCAGCCCCGTGGTGCACGCCTTTGATGCCAGCACCTGGGAGGCAGAGGCAGGTGGATCTCTGAGTTCCAGGCCAGCCTGGTCTACAGAGTGGGTTCCAGGACAGCCAGGACTACACAGAGAAACCCTGTCTTGCAAAACAAACAAGCTCACACACATAAAACAAAAAAGAAGAGGCATTTATTGCCAGGAGAGGTGGCTCAGAGGTCAAAAGCTATTTGTAAAGGTCCCAGGTTCCATTCCCAGTGCCCACATCAGGTTTTATAGCCACCTGCTTCAGGGGGCCACTACCTCTCACCTCAGGCACCTGTACACGAGTCACAGACTCACCCCCAGACACATACATAAATATAATTAAAAATAATAAAAATAAATCTTAAAAAAAAAGATGTTCAATTGGATGTAAGCCATCCTCAGGTCTTAGTGCACGCACTGTCTGTCATACATGCCGAAGACCGGTCTAGCATGAATATCTCACTGAAAACATGGGCCTTGCTAGTTTGAGGGCGTTCATTGCATTTCTGGGCACATAGACTCCTTGGATCTACCTTTCTCAAACCTTAGAAAAGCAAACCGTAATAACTAGTAAAATGTTCTGATAGCATCCGATGTGACTTGACCATGGCCTTTGACGATCTCCTTGTCAACATGTAAGGATAGCCAAGTGGCTCATGTGTCTGCTTGCTGACATCTAAAGGAAGACACCTTGGTGATTCTGAGCACTTTTGACTGACAACGGGGCCTGCGGTTTGGCTGGAAGATGAGCACAGAGGCGTCTGTGATGCAGGTGGTTTTGAGGTTATACGTGTAAGCCCTCTTTTTAAATAGCATTTGGGGCTTAGGAAGGATGTCTTTACACAAAACGGATGTCTTCTCAAAAGAGAGTTCTGATGTTCTGCTTTTCATACTGTTGTCTCCAGCTACTGGAAACCTATATAAGTACTAAGTCTTCACGAGAATGGTTACAGCTCAGTTTAGTGTGTGTGTGAGTGTGTGTGTGTGTGTGTGTGCGCGTGTGCACATGTGTGCAGGTGCACATGAAGCCAATAGTCCATGTCAAGTATCTTCCTCCATTGTTCTCCATCTTACTTTTTTAATGATTTTTTTTATAAAATGATCATTGATAAGTGTTTTGCCTGCACATGTCTGTCTGTCTGTCTTTGTGAGGGTCTTGGATTCCCTGAAGCTGGAGTTACAGACAGTTGTGAGGTGCCATGTGGGGCTAGGAATTGAACCTGGGTCCTCTGGAAGAACAGCCAGTGCTCTTAAGCTCTGAGCCATTTCCCCAGTCCCTTAGTATAGTCCTGATACCAGCAGTGAAAACTTAACAGGAATCAGAGATGGCTTCAGAGGCAATTGTCTGTTTCTTCTACTCTGCCTCCCTGGTAGAAACAGGGACACCATCTCCATTTCCTTCTCATATTTTATTTACTTATTTTTGGTTTTTGAGACATAGGCAAGGCTTGTTATGTAACTGAGGCTGACCTTGAACTTCTGATCGTCCTGTCTCTAACTCCCAAGTCTGAGATTGCAGGCAAAAGTCGCCACTGTCTGCTCAGTCTCTACTCCCGGGAGAAGGTCTCTCTGAACCTCTGAGAGTGCTTGTGAGTAACCAAGGGGCCAAAGGCTGCAGTAAAGGAGGTCTGCATGGGCCATGACCATGACGGGGACCCACATGGAGACTCACTGGTGTTTCTTGGGGTTTGTTTTTTATTTCTTGTTTTGTTGTTGTCATTCAAAGAGCCACAGCTTCTCAGAACAGTGTGCGTGTGAACAGCAAAATGGCTGTTTCACGTGGTTAGCTGTTTATCTAAACTGGATAAATCTGGATGAAGAGCAGGGTCACCCAAACCCTTCCTCCTTCAGCAGAAATCACGCTTTCTGGTAAAGATTTGCCCTAGTGTGTGTGTTGTTTGCTTTTCTGTTTTGTTGTTTTGAGACAGGGTCTCAAGTAGCCCAAGCTGAACTTAAGCTCCTTCAGGGCTGACCTTGAACTTCTGAAGCTCCTGCATCCTGCTCTGGGACTATCACACAGGTTCGTGCCCTGCTGAGGACAGAGGCCAGGGCCTTGTGGGTGTGTGGTAAGTTCTGCCAGCTGAGCTCCAGCTCCAGCCTTCACTCCTAGTCTTTGAATAGTAATGGACAGATTTTTCTTTTTTAAAATTATACAAAGTAGACATAGTGCTACACACTTTAATCCCAGCTCTCAGAAGACAGAAGCAGGCAGATCTCTCTGAGTTTGAAGCCAGTCTGGTCTATATAGTGAGTTGCAGGCTAGCCAATGCTACATTGTGTGATGCCATCTCAAACAACAATAACAATAACAACAATAATAATAATAAATTGCTCCCTGAGAATACCCTGTGTGAGGAGCATGAAGGGGAAATGTTTTAGGGTTAAATTAGTGGGGCTTGGAACCCGAAGAACCTGAACAAGAGTTGTTCTGCCATTCCTCTGAGGGCTTCTACCATGAGAGTAGAGGGTGGAGCTCCAGGAGCTCTGGGAGCTCCGTGGTCAAGCGCTGCCTGGTATGTGCAAAGCCCTGTGCTTAACCACTAGCTCCACAAAAGAGTTTTACTGTAAGTAAAACTCCCATCCCTAGCAAGCTTGCTTGTCTAAGAGAGAGAGAGAGAGAGGGAGGGAGGGAGAGAGAGAGAGAGAAAAGAAAAGAAAAGAAATAAAAGGCAAAACAGCCATTTTTTCTCACAAATGTTCTCTTGGAGAACTGGGATCCTGTGGCAGCTGGCCTAAAACATTGCCCAGATTTTTGCCATTAGGGATGCTTTCGGCCTTAGGGTTGAACTACCATTAGGCCGCTTCCCATCTTCCCATTATTTCTGAGGATCCAATGGCAAATGGGACAGCAGGACCCTAATTAACTGGAGTCCCTACTGTCCTAGAAGTGGGGGCAGGGGGGTGGCCATATGCCACAGGCTTCCTTCAGCAAGCCCTCCGCCGTGACTGTGGTTCACCAGAGACAGAAAACTTCCTCTTTCCAGTTCAGTTCCTTTTTATTTCTTTTGCTCAGAAGTGATGAAAGACTGCCAGAAGAGGATCTCTGGGATAGAATAGAGAAGACAGGGACGGGAGCTCCTCCTTTCACAGTAGGACATGTGCCGTAGAAAACTAAACGTTGCCTGTTTTATATCTTGGAGCTAGTTCAGAGTTTGTTACTCAACTTGAAAGAGCAAGAGTGGAGAAAGGCGGGGTGGGTTCGCGCAGGCTTTAATGCGCCCTGGTGGACGTCAGGATTTGGGAGCAGCCTGGTCTGCACAGTGAGTTCTGATCCAATGTTAAAACAAAAACAAGAGCAGGAGGACAAGGTCACCCCAACCTGGAATCCCAGCCCCAGGATGTCCCAGAATGGCTTTGCTGTAAGATACTCTTTGAAATCATTTCACTGATTTAAATCTAAAACCGGTGGCTTATTTTCCATTGATAAAACTAAAAACTAACTTCTCGCCGGGCGGTGGTGGCGCACGCCTTTAATCCCAGCACTTGGGAGGCAGAGGCAGGCGGATCTCTGTGAGTTCGAGACCAGCCTGGTCTACAAGAGCTAGTTCCAGGACAGGCTCCAAAACCACAGAGAAACCCTGACTCGAAAAAACCAAAAAAAAAAAAAAAAAAAAAAAACCAAAAAAAAAAAAAAAAAAAAAACTAACTTCTCGGCTGGATTTATGTAGTTCAGCTGTAGAGTGTTTGCCTGGCAAGTGAGGTCCAAGCACCACAAATAAATATATATATATATATAATTTCAGGGTAGATTTTTGAATCTTAACAACACATGGCTCCAGATGTCCAACTGTCAAAATAATTTTTAAAGGTTTGCTACAATCCAGGATATGTAAGTTGATCTGTGCGCTGTACCTTACTTATTTTACTCTGGTCTTCAGCATCATCCCTCATCAACCCAAATGCCTGTTTAGTAGCTGAGCAGCTGGGTCCAGAAAGCAGTTTTTCTGCCTTTTGAATAATTGAGCAAGGCTGGGAAGGCGAGACACTTATAAGTAGCTGGATTGCCTTCATCGGGCTCTTAGGATTGTTCTGTCCTCTGATCCCAGATACCTCGCCGTCTCTGGAAAGGGAGAAGCTAGTACTAGAAGAAAAGTGATTAGAAATCCCGCTTGAGGGTTGTTTTTGTCACGTGAGGAAGGCTGCATCTCAAGAAGAACGCATCTGGCTACAGCTCTCTGGAGCAGTCTCCTGAATCAGAACCGGTGGGGCGGGGCGTGCATCTGGCCTAACCTGACTAGACCACAACCATGACCACAACCATGGTCTACCAGAGCCCTTAGACCCTGGGCAACAGCATCTCCTATTTCTAAAATACTCTTGGGAGCCGGTTCAGACCTGGCTGGAGGGTGTGGCCTAGAGGCCCGTCTTAGTTTGCAGCCACCAGAAGAGGCGTCCAGGGACAGACTCACATTCTACCCTCGCCAGCATTTACCAAGCTGGCCTCAGCCCAGCATGTCCTGCTTCTGCTGCCTTCTCAGACTGGGGAGAGCTAGGCAACTCTGACCGCCTGCTTCCTCAGCTGCTCGTGCAGAAGTCGGAGCGGAACCACAACCGCAGAACACGAGGGAGCTGGACTGAGACACAAACATCCTGTCCTTTCTGTACCAAGAGGCTCCAGCTCGAGACTCAGAGTCACCAATCTGATTATTTATGTGGGACAGAACCACCCATTGACTCTTATAAGCTCATCTTCCCTAGAGTCACTTCAAGGACAGTTAGCATTTTTTCCCCAGTCCTCTTAGCCCATGCTGTTACTTGGCTTGTGACTTTGATGACAGGAGACAGTAGGCTGAGCAGGGTGAGCAAGAATGTTGGTTGTCAGAGCTGCAAGTTCTCTCTCTTTCTCTCTCTCTCTCCAGTTTGAAGGGAGAAGGGAGCAGAGCTCCCCGCTCAGTCCTCAGTCTTCCAGCTGCTGGGGTCCCTTGTTGGGAATTTTCTCAAAGGTGCAGGAGCCTCCCCAGGCAAGCTTCACCTGGTGTAAGACCGCTTCCAGTTAAAGATCTCCTCCAGATTGGAAGAAGGGGAGACCTCTCGCTTCTGCAGGCCTCCCCAACGACGCCGGCCCCCCAAAAATGAAGTCCTGCGCCTGCTCAGTCCTTTCATCCTCTCTTCCATTCGGAAGAATTCAGTCAGGGCCTTAAAGGACTCCAAGATAACCTCGTGGCTCCATGCTGGCAAGGGCTCAGGGCGCAGGAAGCCACAGTGGCCTCCATGGCTACTGAGCAGCAGGAAAAAGTAAGGGTTGCTTTGGAAGAGTTCCGCGGGCAGAGTGTGGTCTGGGGGTCCACACACCGGATCATCAGCACTGCAGATACACAGGACAGGGACAGCAGCCTCATCCACATCCCGGAGTGGGTCATTCAGGTCCCAGTAGGTATCCCAGCTGATGGGGAAACTCTTGGTGTGGCAGAACAGGGTTTCCTCAAACTCTCGCAGGGAGCTGCTTCTGAACAATTTGCTGGTGTCTACTGTGTCCTCCAGGGCTGAGGCATACCTGGTCACAGAAGGTGAATGGGAGAGCAGGAGAGAGAAAAGTCAGATGACAGGCAAAGCTACTGTGGAGGCAGTCCCTAGGCTAGGATCTGGCCACGGAGCGTTTTGAGCTACAGAAAAGAACAGAGTTGGTAGCAGGGATCTCTAATCTCAGCACTCAAGAGGCAGAGGCCTGGTGGATCTCTGAGTTCCAAGCAATGACAGTCTCTCTCTCTCTCTCCATACCCTAGCAAACAACACCTCCCTTTTAAAGAATTATCTACTTTGTGTATGAACGTTTTGCCTGTGTGTATATATATGTACCATGTGCCCATGCAAAGGTGTTGGCTCCCCTGGAACTGGAGTTACAGATGGTTTAAGCTGCTATGTGGGTGCCAGGAATTGAATCAGGGTCCTCTGTAAGAGCAAGGGTGCTTAACCACTGAATCATCTCTCCAGATGTTTGACTTCTCCATAGGGTGATTATTCCTTCTCGGTCACACCTGCCACCAGCATTGTCATTTGTCCCAGAGGTAGCACTTGCCTTCGCAGCTGTTAATCTATAAGGATAGCCCTCCCTGTAACTTCAACTTTTGATTCTTTCCGAGGAACTCATGACCTGTGTCCATGGAGGCACCTTAAGAGAACCCACTGTCTCGGACCATCCAGACCAGAGCCGATGCCTCTCCCGCAGCTGATGCCTCTCCCGCAGCCGCACCGATCCCTGTATCTTAGCAAGTGCTCAGTGGCAGAGAAAACAACGGAGTTCTAATCTACTAGATGCCTTCCCAAGCAGAGGCCTGCAAACTGCTGTACTGGGAAGAGGGACCACTTCGCTGTCTCAGCTCCCTGGAGAGGGTCTGGACGGTTCACAAGGAAGCCAGGGTGGGCAGCTCTGCTTGATCCTTTAGGCAGATTAATTTAGCCTCCGCCAGTTGAATTTATATCTGTGCCCAAGTTTGCAACCCCAGACTTCCATGGGAAGGGTGGTTCCCAAAGGCACAGGTTTCCTCTTCGTTTCCCTTACCCAACTTCTGGCTGGTGCCTTTGGTAGACACTGGTGCTGGTCATCTGGGAGTGGAAACTATGGTGATTAAGCTGGATGAGCTTACCCTGTACCAAACCTCTGAGTTGCCATGGCAGCACCTTTTTCTTCTCATTTAGCCTCAGTGTTTGACCTTTTCAAAACAGGAGGTAAAGTGGTAAAAAAAAAAAAAAAATCCTAATTGCCACCACTGGCCTCTACCTGATGTCTGTCAGATTCTCGTGTTTTCATTTAATAACCACAGCTACCTGCGGAGGGGTTATTATTAACTTCATTTAACCGGAGGGGAAGTGAGCCTTAAAGGGGCTAGCTAATGTTCTGTTTTTTTTTTTTTTCGAGACAGGGTTTCGCTGTGGTTTTGGAGCCTGTCCTGGAACTAGCTCTTGTAGTCTCAAACTCACAAAAATCCGCCTGCCTCTGCCTCCCAAGTGCTGGAATTAAAGGCGTGCGCCACCACCGCCCGGCTAATGTTCTGTAAACTCAGGATTTGACCCCAGCTGGGCCTTCCCCCATGTCCTGGGTGTCTCTGCTGCCAGCACAGCTCTGAACTCACTCCACCATCTCTTAGGAAAGACTGGAAATGTCATTCAAGTGTTTTCTATGGAACAATCTTGCCTGGTGTTAAAATTGTTCTACTTTTGGAGATTTAAAAGTTTAGTATTTTGCTTTTGTGTTTTTCCTCCCTCCCTCCCTCCCTCCCTCCCTCCCTCCCTCCCTCCCTCCCCTCCTCTCTTTCTTCCTTTTCTCACTGTCTTGGTAGCTGTGTGGTGCCTGATGCCTGGAATCTCTGGAGTTCAGCAGCACCTCAGCTATACAGCCTGAGTTATAGGAGACCTTGTCTCAAAAAGGACAAACAGCTAAGTGTTGCGCACTCACCTAGAAATATGTAAAACATCTGTCAGTTCAAAGAATCTTAATAAGTCAAATGCCACCTTTCTCATTCCTGCCAGCTCCCGGCTCAGTCAGAAGTAAACATTCAGACAGATAATCAGCTGCTATTGCTTCCAGAGCTCTGTTTGCCGACCTATCCTGGCTAAGCACTAAGTGGTAAATGTCAGGTGCAGGCCTCTGCTGACCACCGGTTGCTAGGACACCTGAGACTGAGATGAACTGATGGGGCCCTGGCAGGAAGCCTTGCTGTGGTAGAATGATGCCGACTGCGGCCATGAAGCTGTCTATGGCTTTGGAACCCACTTTCCTAGTTCTGTCTCCATTATGGGGTTTGAACAGCTTTGGAAACCGTGTGGGAACTTTGCTCCAATCTACCCGTGGTTGGTTTCATACCAGGCAGAGCTGTAGACTTCTATTCCGGTACCCACCTGCTGAGAGTGATCTTCTGGTGCAGCAGGAACCCACGCTCATAGGGCCAAGGCAAGCCAGCTTCGAACCACTCGCGACAGCGTAGCACCGGCGAGATGCAGGCGGCGCCAGTCACATAGCTGGAGGAGCCGCACTCCCCCAAGTAGGACAGCAAGAGCGCGGACCCCGAGCCCTCGCTCACCGCGAATAGGGGGGCCGCCGGGTGTCGGAAGCGAATGTAAGTCACCGCCTCCTTGAGGTCGGACGGATCCCCGAAAGGCTGTAGACGGGGGCTAACCAGCGGGCAGCCGTGGTGGCCGCGGCGATGGAAGATGACCGGGTAGTAGCCGCGTTCCAGGGCGAGTAGGCAGAGCCCCAGCACATTGCGAGTGAGGCGTCCCCACGCATTGGGGATTACCAGCAGCACAGGAGGGAGGCCTCCAGTATTAGTGACCCGGCGGCCCCTGGCACAAGGTCCTATGACCCAGTCCAGGGCCACCAACCCATCATCTGCCAGTTGCAGGTACTCACGGGCTAGCTCAGGACCTGGCCCGACGGGCAGGATGAAGTGGCAGAAGGTCTGCAGGTGGGGCCCCGACAGCCAGGAGCTTGGGGTGGGTTCCAGCGCCGCCGAGCGTCGCAGAGCGCGCAGTAGGCACTGGGCCAGAGCCGAGGGCTTGCAAATCAGGCTGCAGCCCCCGGGGAGCGGTTCGCGCCGGTCGCTGAACTGAGCCGTGGGGCCTCTGCTCACCACCTCCTGCTCCTCCTGGTCCCGGACCGAGGTCCGTGCTCCGACGGTGCGCTTCCAGGGGCGCAGGAGGAGCAGAGCGAGCGCCGCGAGCAGCAGCGCGAGGACGGCCGCCCACGGAGGCATGGCTTGGCAGGACAGCCTCCGGCGGGCGGCACTGGGCGGCGGGGAGTGGAGCTGTCCCTCTCGCCGGGCTCCCGGCTCTGCCCGCGGCTCCGCCCGGAGGCCCGCGGCTGCCCAGCGTCCTCCCTAGCGGAAGGGCGCGTGCTCTCCGGATTGGTCGCGGCCTGGCGGAGACAGCCAGTTCGGGTCGAGCTCCCCTTGTCCGCCCCCCACTCCCGCCCCCAGCCCTTTGTACAGCGATTGCGACAAGCTGGAGCAGAGGGTGAAAGAGATCCCGGCCACAAAGGGGGAGCGGGGACGTGCGGCCGAACCAGAAGAGAGGGGAATAAGGAGGCGAGTCAGTAAAGGATTGGGGAGACTGAGGCTTGGCGGCCTGAGTGAGCACGAGGTGCCTGTTCCTACTCCGGTCCCCTATGAAGTCTGGCTGCCAGAGGAGACCCTCGGTCTCTGAGTCCTCGGGATCCGCTATTGATGGGTAGCAAAAAAGCAAGAAAAGAGTAAAGCGCTGATCCCTCTCTGGCTTCACTGTTTCCACGCGCTGTTGCATCTGCAGCCAGAGCCATACATCGCCCTAGCCAGGACCCACAGCTGCGCGATAACGCCACAGGGTTGGGTGTTGGGGTGTCTGCACCTGGCTAGAGGCCGACCGCAGCGTTTGACCCTGACCACGGGTTTCAGGGGGAGGCTGTCGCTTCTCTGGAGGTCATGCAGGGCGCTGGCACGCTGTCACTTCTGGCTTCTCCAGCCCACCCGCCAAGGATACTTACTCTCCATGGGCTGGCGTCACCACTTCTCACTAGGAAGGGTTGCAGAAGAAACAGCCTCAAGTTTGGCAGAATAAACTAAGGGAGAGGATTGGGGGTACCTTGCTCCACGATGGGGCTATGGCAGAGGTGCATAGTGGTTCTTTTTGGTCAGATCAACATCTGGTCATTCTTGCCAGGGTGGGTGACCAAGGATCCTCCCCTTGTAAATCGGAGTCCGTGGGAGATGCCTGAAATAACTGTTTGTGTTGTTTTTCGAATCATTTTTTTTATTACGTTTAGTTGTGGATATGTGTGTAGGTCAGAGGACAACTTGCTGGAATCGAATTTCTCCTTCCACCACGTGGATCCAGGGACTGAACTCTGGTTGTCAGACTGGGGCAAGCATCGTCACCCACTGAGCCATCATGCAGGCCTCTGTTTCAAACTTTGGATTGGGCGTCTCAATCCTTACCCCGGTTCTTACGTTCATTGCAGCGCTCCAGTGCAGTTTCAGCTGAGCACTGGAGCACCTCGAACTCACCCGAACCAGTCAGGGTCTCGCACGTCACCCTTGGGCAAAGAACGAGGGCGGGAACCGGGAGAAGGTGGGGAACAAAGCAGACACGGGGAGACAAGACTTCCCGGACTTCTGGGCCTGAGGTAAGAAGGGCCTAAGACCCCCGGTGAGAGTTCGGTGCTCAGGATTCATATTAGCAAGGGCAGGAATGGGGCAGAGTGAAGGCGAAGCGCTCAAAGTCGACCCTCTCGGGACAGCTAGGATTTCGTAATTCTGGCCCTTGAGGGCACACCGAGTGCTTAGCGGGTTTGCCAGAAGAGCACACACATCTCCGCCTGGGTCACCCAGTCCTTAGGGATCTAATTTCCCGCCCTTTGCCGGGTTCCTAGATCCGCCCAGGCGATGCAGTTGCGCTCTGCTGGCCGGGCAAACCGGGCGAGGGAGATGCTCCAGCCGGCATGGAGACTGAGCGATCCTTAGGGGCTCACAACTTTTCCGGCTTTGGGCCCAGGACGCGTGCGCCGGCCAGGCGGTGGGCGGGGCGGGGGCGGGCCTGGCGGTGGGCGGGGCGGGGCCCGAGGCCAGGCCAGGAGAGGGCAGGACTGTGAGCGAGCCGGGGTTTGCGTGGACGCGCGAGCGGCGCGGGACCGCGGGGGCGCGTAAGCGGCACGGCTGTTGGTTGGCGGGACTGCTGACCCTGCTGAAATGGTTCCTCCTCTTCCACCTCCTCCCCGGTTGCTTCTGGTAGCCCTGGTGGGGCTCCTGAGTCTTTGCGAGGTAAGGCGACCGACTCCTGGTAAGGCCTTGGCCGAGGGATCTCAAAGCGCTTTGCTATAACTTTGTCCTGGAAGGAGTGGCGCGCGCGAGGGGATTCGGAGGCTCCTCCATTGGTCTGCGCCCCCAGTCCTGGAACCAAAAGGGCGAAGCCCTAGCAGAGGCCAACGCCCAGCTCTGCGCCTTGGACCCACAGGTGGTGGCTGAGACAGCGGAGGAGGCAGGAACCCGTTGTCCCAAGGGCCTGTGGCCTCTGCCTCCACAGGTAAGAATCCTGGAGGGCCGAGGACGGGAGGGGTACGAATAGCTTCGCTGCACCTTCGGTGATCAGCCCTCTTGGGATGTTTATTGGTTCCTCTTGCCCTCAGTCTCCAGCGTCTTCATCTCAGCTCAGGGCTTGGGGCTGGTTGTCCCTTTCTTCACCCCCGCCACGAAATCCCCAGCTGCTCTCTTCTTTCCCCATGTGTAGGTGTTACCAAGAGTGACTTACACGCAGGTGAGACAAGGGCAGGTAAGTACACCGAGGGGCCCATCTGTGTATCCTTCCCTGATGGCAGAGTGCTTCTCGAAGGTTACCTCAGTCTCTAGGCTCTCAGCCCAAAGCTCCACTTTGTGCAAACGAGGAAAGGCTTGCAGTTGCCCATTCCTGGACAAGTGACAGACAGTGGACCACAGCTCTGTAGTGCAGTGTCAGGGATGCTGTTGAGTGGCTAGACGTGTGGAGCTCTGAAGGTTGCAAAACCAGCCCGCATCCTGGTGCCAGGTGTGACCGAGAGCTCTCTTGTGCTCTAGGTTTCTGCTAGAGATGGCATTTGTCCCTTCAGCTTTACGAAGTGAACGAATAGTGTGAGACAGCGCTTTGGATCACAAAATATTGTATTGGGTTGGGAGTGTACGCTTTACTGTGTTGTAAACTGGGTTCAACTTTCAAGAATATTTTTCTTCTTAAAAATTCGTTTAGGGGGCTGGAGAGATGGCTCAGAGGTTAAGAGCATTGCCTGCTCTTCCAAAGGTCCTGAGTTCAATTCCCAGCAACCACATGGTGACTCACAACCATCTGTAATGAGGTCTGGTGCCCTCTTCTGGCATGCAGTCATACACACAGACAGAATATTGTATACATAATAATAAAAAAAAATTTAAAAAAGAAAAAAATACATTTAAAAAAAGATTTATTTTTAAAAAAAAATTCGTTTAGGTTTATCTTGTGGGTATGAATTTTGCCTGTGTGTATATGTGTTCAGGAGAGTTGTCAGGTCCCCTGGAACTGAAGCTAGACTTGATTGTGAGCTGCCATGTGGATGCTGGAGCCTGAACCCAAATCCTCTGCAAGAGCAGCAAATGGTCTTAAACGCCAGCCATATCACTACTCCCCCCCCCCCCTTTTATAGACAGGGTCACACGTAGCTCAAACTGGCCCTCAGACTTGCTATGTGGCCAAGGATGATCTTGAACTTCCGATCCTTCTGCCTCCACCTCCTGAAGGGCCGGGATTATAGCAGACACACTCAGATTTGGCTACCTCATTATTGCACATGGTCCTTCTTTTAAGTTACTTCAGTGTTCAGAACCCGTCTGATTATAGCCCACCTGTCATGGCTGAGTTCCCTTGCCTGCCTTGTGAAGACTTGTTAAATTATCTTCATCTGATTTCTCAATTAGTTTATCTTGGTCACAATGGGCCCTCATACATAGGAATTCTGGCTCATTTCCTACTTCTCTGGTTTATTTTCTACTGGCCATCAGGAGTCAGAACACTCGGCTCCATGCCCTGCAGCTCCTCACCTCCAACTATTCCCAAACTCCCTGCAGGAGTCACAGCGCCACCTGAACCCCAAAACCTGCCCGATGTTATCCTGACCTCTGTGATCACAGTTAACTAAGCAAGCTGGACTTAGCGGTACAGGCTTTTACAATCCCAGCTGATTGGAGGACTGAAAGTGAACTCAAGTCCAACTTGGGCAACTTGGCGAGACTTTGTTTCAAAGTTTAAGGAAAGAGTGGAAAGGCGGGCTGGAGAGATGGCTCAGAGGTTAAGAGCATTGCCTGCTCTTCCAAAGGTCCTGAGTTCAATTCCCAGCAACCACATGGTAGCTCACAACCAGCTGTAATGGGGTCTGGTGCCATCTTCTGGCCTGCAGGCATAGAGACAGAATATTGTATACATAATAAGTAAATAAATAAATATTTTAAAAAAAAGAGTGGAAAGGCAGTTGAGGATATGGCTTGCTGGGAGAGCATTTGTAGGGATCCAGCCCCTAGAGCCCAAGCCCTCTCCCTCCCAACTACCTGCCTCCCACACATACCCATGAGTTGTATGGGTTTTTTTGTTTGTTTGTTTTTTGTTTTTGTTTTTTTTTTTTTTTTTTGCTTCCCTGAATCTCTTCCTCTACTCTCTGGTCTTTTGGGATAGGGCTTCATAGCCAAGGCTGGCCTGGTAGTCACTGTGTACCTAGGCTGGCCTGAAAGTTTGGTCTTCTTACTAATGCTTCACGTGGCTAGGTTACAGGTGAGCTCTGTTACACTCAGCTTTCCATGGCTTTTTCTTTCTCTCTTTCCTTCCTTGTCTTTTTCTTTGCTTTCTTCCTTCCTTCCTTCCTTCGTTCGTTTGGTTGGTTGGTTTTGAGTCAGGGTTTTACCTTGACAGCCCTGCTGTCCTGGAACTTACTCTTTAGACCAGGCTGGGCTCGAACTCACAGATATACACCTGCCTCTGTTTCTTGAGTATGGGGATTAGAGGCGTGCACCACCACTGCCTGACCCAACTGCATTTTTTTTTAAAGGTTTATTATATATACAACATTCTGCCTGCATGTATGCCCACACACCAGAAGAGGGCGCAAGACCTCATTACAGATGGTTGTGAGCCACCATGTGGGTTGCTGGGAATTGAACTCAGGACCTTTGGAAGAGCAGGCAATGCTCTTAACCACTGAGCCATCTCTCCAGCCCCCCCAACTGCATTTCTTACACATTCCTCAGGGTCCAGAAGTTATTTTTTGGTATCTTTTATAGCATCTAGCATCCTGAGACGGCAGTCATGTGTGTTTGGATACTCCTGGGAGAGTGCATGTATTAAATCAGCAGGTAGAGGACCTGATCTTCATCTAAGGATACTCAGAGTCTAGATTTTAGGTTTGCAG